AAGCCACATACCAAAATCAGCTCAATATCTACAAGCGTTTAGAAGAAAATTGCGGAAAACCCGTAAAAATTGAAAAGGCCGTAATTCCGTAAAAAATCAATGAAGCGGAACGAAATGCAAACTTGATCTGTAACTCATCAAGATACACTCACATACCAAAAATCAGCTCAATATCTACAAGCGTTTAGGAAAAAAGTGCGGAAAACCAAGTGGGACAGACTGACAGACAGACAGAGGGACGGACAGACAGACAGACGGACGGACAGACTCAGAGGAAACCTATAGTCCCCTCCGGTTTCACCGGTAGGGGACTAATAACAAAGAGAGCCTTGGAAACACTGCAGATTCGGAGAGCCAATTTGTTTCTGTGACGGGGGAATGGGAGTTGTACAATCTAAAAATTAAGAATCAAAGGCGCAAAAACAGAGATTATTACAGGTGATTAAAAATGTTAAAATAAATTTAAGTTCAATTTAAGTTCAGTTCCAAGCTTCACCTTCTTTTCTTTAGGTGGTCGTGCCTTTAACGTTGTTCTATCGGATTCATCTGTCTCTGTTCGGATCCAATCGTCTCTGTTCCTTTGACTTCGATGTAACTAGCTGTTTAAAATGATCTTTCTTTTCATTTAAAACAGGATCAGATAACCACTGCATTTGCTCATCTCTCCAGCGCGGAGGAAGACAACAGTTCTCATCTTTGCATTTCCTGATTTTTGCGTATTGTCTACCTCTTCACTGAGTTTCAATCCACTTCTTGTAACTCTTAACATTACTTGTGTGCACTTTTTGAAGTTTTGTCAAATCAAGATTTGGGAAAACTTCACGAACATGGCGCTTCAAAATATCAGTTTCCTGGTTACTTACTGGATCTAAGGCCTTCACTGGATCATCTTTTAACTTCAACCTCAAGAAGCGGTACGGAGCAGTGATGCAACAGCAGCTGGCTCTACTGATTCCATCCATGCAATTTTCACTCCCGTAGTCTTCTCAGAAACACTTCTCACATCTGCCATACTGTTGCAGTTTTCTTAGTACTTTATTCATTTCCTCTGTTGACTCTTCACGTTCTAATGCTACATTTTGCAGGGCCACGTTTAGAATGCCCATTACCCTCTTAGCAGGGTTAACATAACTGTGACCGGGCGCACACCTTGCTAAGATCATCATGAGATTCAATTTCTTGAATAAACATATCGAGGCGCACTTAACAATTTCAAGTGTATTCAGCTGAGCCACTTACTTGTTTATAATTCTTTTAATTAAAAGACGCCCTGAAAGATAAATACTATGATTTGTAGGGAGCACAAATTTTGGTCAGTTGTTAAGAATGTTTCCACAAACATTTATATTATTTATTAAGCATTGTTGAACATTTATATTTATAAAATCTATATTTTTATATAATAGTCTTGGATAATGATGATCTCGATCATAAGGAGTTTATTTTTATTCAGTGACAAATAATTCATATTTCTGAGATCGTAAATTAGCTTGTTTTAGACTGTGATAAATTAAGAGTAAGTTATTGAACCGTCTAATAATTAGATAAGTGATGCAAGACTGTGATAAATTAATAATAAGTTATTGAACCATCCAATAACTATGTAAGTGATGCACCTATTGCTTTTAAGTTTACATAAAATCTTTCATAACTTTTTAATACACAGATACTAGTAGGAACTTCAATGAATATTTGACCAACACATATTGGTACAGTGAGTAGATATAATTTAATTTTTCCTTGAAATACTTATTGATCCATCCATCAAAGCTACCTGGAAAAGAGTACGAATTAATTTCCCACAGAACTCTATATAAACCTTAGGCCCTCTCGGTACTTAAATATGGCAACTTCAGGCAAATCTTTAGCATCACTTGAAATTTCCTTCTAAACCCTTACAAAAATACTGAAAAAATATGGTCCCATGGCGTTTCAGAGTCAAAATTGCAGTTGATTACAACTGACAGCGATCAGCAGTATATGGCACTCTACATCAAACAGAGCTGCCAAACCTTACGATTTTGGCATAAGGCTTACGGTTTGAGTGTCTAAAATATTTATTTATCCTTACGACCTCTGTTTCTCTTCGTCAAAATTTTGAAATACTGGTATTTTCATAGATTTCCACCTTTAATTTTCACCATTATGATGCAAAAGTCATAGCCCTAGTCCTTGTGGCGCTTGCTTATGTTGTTATTGTCCGTTTCTATGCTAACTTGCGATCTAAATCATTTCAAAGTTATCTAGGCGCCGCGGGTCTAAGCGGCCTTTGGACCTCCTCATTACTCCCATTCATTACTCTATCCTACTTACCATAACAAAAAATGATCTCGACATCCGGGGTTTAGGCACTCTCATTCTTATACTTACATTGTTTCCTACCTCGGACTTAGTCAATTTTGTAAATTCAAAGATCTTACTCCTATCTGTGTACATGTCTGAAATTTGAGTCCTGTGACTTCAGTGTCTTGGATACGATGACCATCTCAATTGACGACACCTTACTGGTACCTGTGCAGTTTAAAGAAGTGAATGATTTTCAGACCAGTGATCCTATTTGGATATATTGGTGGCTGTAATGAAATATTTGTACGTCAATGAGATGTTTTTGTTTTTTAATTTAAATTTAATATATAGTCACATTTGAGTAATTTTTTTTCATAAGGATGGATTCTACCCAGAATTTGAAAAAGCTCCAAAATTTGATGAAAACCTAGAAAATTATGTAATATGTAAGGGTTTCAGAAAAAACTAATAGAAAAGTAATTAAACTTTTTGATGATTATCAAATGGTAATCATCAATAACTCAAGTACACCAAATTATTCTTATCTGGTCTTCTCTTCTGATTAAGTACTAGTATATGCGTTAAGTTTTACCACCATTCCCTCTGTAATGTAGTTTGGAGAAATAGCAGGTATGCCAAATCTTCGTTGTTTACAATAAACATAGACAAGAGAGAAAATCCCTCGTTTTGGTAGAACATTTGAATCCAGTCTTTGTAGCCTTAAACAGCACCCATTATTTGTCAAATTCATGGAATTAAAGGCCTAGTAAAGAATTCAAATCAATGCCGAAATTCAAACAGGGTCAAAATTGTGGTTTTAAACCCCAAGATGTGCCACACATTAAGAGAGTGAAAAGTAAAGAGGAGGAAAATTTACCGGTACCATACAGCAGACTGTCTGACGAAATGCATGAGATGGTTTTGGGGGATTTCGTCAGCTGCATAAAGAGAGGGAAACTTAATGCTCGTGCGACCCAGGTGTCACCATCTCCTACGGCCAAGGAAACCGACAGAGTAAAAACCTTCCACGTGCTTAAATGAAAATAAATCAGAGCTATAAGTCAATTATTAGCTCTACTGGTCAGACCAGAAGAGCTTATGCGATAGTAATTAAGGTGTCTGTCTGTCTGTCCGTCTGTCTGTAAACAATTTTTCAAAACACTACTCCTCCTACAGTTTTGGTCTAATTTCAATATAACTTGGCACACAAGTAGACTACACTGAGATACATAATTTAGTGCATCGGTTTTTGATTTCCATGAACGGTGTTGTCATGGTTACTAAAATAGAAATTTCTGTGAAATTCTTTTAAAATGCTACTCCTCCTACAGTTTTGATCTGATTTCAATATAACTTGGCAAACAAGTGGACTACACTAAGATACATAATTTAGTGCATCGGTTTTTGATTTCGATGAATGGTGTTGCCATGGTTACTAAAAATAGAAATTTCTGTGAAATTCCTTTAAAACGTCCTCCAACAGTTTTGGTCTGATTTCAATATAACTTGGCACACAAGTAGACTACACTAAGATACATAATTTAGTGCATCGGTTTTTGTTTTCGATGAACGGTGTTGCCATGGTTACTAAATATAGAAATTTCTGTGAAATTCCTTTAAAACGCTACTCCTCCTACAGTTTTGGTCTGATTTCAATATAACTTGGCACACAAGTAGACTACACTAAGATACATAATTTAGTGCATCGGTTTTTGATTTCGATGAACGGTGTTGTCATGGTCACTAAAAATAGAAATTTCAAATTTAAAAGGCTATTCCTCCTTCTGTTTTGGTCTGATATTAAAATAACTTGGCGCACAAGTAGACTACATTAAGATTACATTATTCTATTTATTGCTGCATGTTGCAAAGTTTCAAATCCAAGTGCTACTTTTCCTTTGTTATATGTACAGACCAGTAGAGATACAGTCTCATCAGAGACTTCTGGTTTAGCTCTACTGCTCAGAGACCAGAAGAGCTTATGCGATAAGTCCGTCGTGCGTCCGTCTGTCTGTCTGTTCATCAGTCTGTAAACAATTTTTCAAAACACTACTCCTCCTACAGTTTTGGTCTGATTTCAATATAACTTGGCACAAAAGTAGACTACACTAATATACATAATTTAGTGCATCGGTTTTTGATTTCGATGAACGGTGTTGCCATGGTTACTAAAAATAGAAATTTCTGTGAAATTCCTTTAAAACGCTACTCCTCCTACAGTTTTGATCCGATTTCAATATAATATGACGTACAAGTAATCTACACTAGGATTCATAATTTAATGCATCGATATTTGAGTTCGATGAACTGTGTTTCGATTGTTACTAAAAATATAAAAAAAAAAAAAATAGGAAATTCCTTGAAAACGCAATTCCTCCTTCCGCGTCAAACCCAAGACGTAAACGTAGGTGTTCCTTCGCCAAGCGCCCAGCACTAGAAGTGAAAGTCACTCTTCTTTTCAGTAAGACCTTAAAAACCTTGTGACGGTAGGCGTTGGCATGATAAAGAACCCTCGGTGCTCAATGGCCCTGAGTGCCGAGTATAGGCCTAGATTTGCAGCCCTTTACCGGCATACGGTGACGTCTCTGGGTGAAAAATTCTTGAATGGGACGTTAAACAATATATAACCAATCAATCTAACGGAAGTAACTCTGACTTCTCTCATCTCTTTTACATGTAGCTGTTGACTGTTTCATGCAATTGAACGATTGCAGCATTACCTAGGCTGGCTAACCAAAAGTCCAACAAACTTCTACATTTTGGGAAAACAATGTGGAATGAAGTCTCACTCCACAAACAACAGAGACCAGGCTGTGATGAACCCCCTGATCAATACAAAGGGCTCAGGGTGGGTGTGGTTGGTCAACAGGAGTTACTAACTCCTCTACGGCATCTAAAATCACCTCGAGAATTTCCGGAGGCTGTTCAGAACAAAGATTTGTATTGTTTGTATAAATTTTAAATCTTGTGAAGATTTGAAAACAGGCGTAGTTTTGCGAGCAGAATGAGCCTCCGGTGCACCAAGTGTTTTCTGCATCCTGGAGGTACAATTGTATGAGGAGATAGAGACCTAACCCCAAGACCATAAACTGAGAACAGACTTAAATCAAAATTTCAAATCAATATCACTTTTGAAATGATTTGGATAATGAAACAAATTTTTCAATCATATGTTTAAATTGGAGTATTACACTAATCTGCAAATTTTTAAGTACGTATTTTAAATAAAACGCAAAATATTCAAAATCGAAATTTTGACTTTAGTCTATTCTCAGTTTATGGTTTCGAGCCCTGATCCCAGGGTAGGACATGGTCTACAAGTTGGACTAAGTCAAACCCCTTTAGGAAATGATGGAATGAGATAAGTTATTTCTACTAACACTCCCCCTCCTACTCATCAGTTCCTGTAAAAGACAATAAATAGAATCACGCCCATAATCAAGATCCTTAATGAGGCTGACATTACATTAGATTACATGGATGTCAACACTCTTAGGGGAAGTGCCATTCCTGTACAGTGCGATGGCATGTACAATAACCCCCTGTACTCGAGGGGTGGGTGAGACACCCTTCCAGCCGGCTGTATACTCATTCGCTGAGAACATTACAACAAAACGTCAGATAATTAAAATGTAGTTTACAAAGAATAAAATTTGCTCTGAACATGGCCACTTATTGGATGATGGCACTGCAGTCCTGGGGTGTGTGGAGCAAATCTACTAATGCAGCATACTAATGGGGATGAGTGCATCTGGACTAGCTGTGGCTGTGGAACTTTTGTGACAAAAAAAGAAACTATTCTCCTGATTCTATCAGCCACTCTGTCGACTTGTTGACATTTAGTTGTCTTTTGAGTTGCCAAGTTCAACTTATGTGCAAACCACCTGATGTGAGGAGAAAATTCAGAAGAAATACTGTTAAATCCAGAGACAATATTACTAGCATTATCAGTAATGAGTTGAGATTTCTTGAGGCCCCACTCCTCAAAAGCATTTGTCAAACCTTCAGCCAAGTTGTCAGCAGTGTTAGAGGAACTTAGTTGCCTAGTATGCAGGATATAGTTCTATATTTCAAAATTGCCATCAATAATGTGGACAGTAATAGTCATATAACTCTCAGCTGCTCGAGATGTCTACCCGTCAGTTGTTACGGCTACAAGTCTGCTTAATCATTACCACTTGCAATTCTCTTTTTAAAACTGGTGTAGAGTTCTGGCATCACCTTCTGTACTATGTGTGTTCTACTTGTTATCGTATACCTGGATTCTATAGACTCAATCAAATGTTTAAATCCAATATTTTCTATGGTAAAAACGGGCACATATCCCATCCTAAATAACTATAGTCATATTGATGTTTTGGTTTTTTTTTTTTTTTGGTGAGTTCGATGAAAATTTACATTTTGCACTTGAGAATTTGTACAGATTTGATTGAGTAGTGTAACCGGTATTGGAGGTATATGGACGTTGGGGAATTTTTACTTGATGACACAGTATTGTCATTCAGCAATATCGCATGCTCTCGTTTCAGATGGGCTGCCATATTCGTAGTATTCCCAGCCTTGTATCTAACGTCATTGGAGCAAATTCTACAAACCATCTTTTTGCGTTCAGTTACTTGCCTTCCATTGACAGTGACAATTATAAAACCTAAGTGCTTCCATACCGTCGAACGGTAACATCACCGTGGACTTTGTAGTTTAAGAGCCTTTTATAGCCAAGGTTAAAGTTTTCGAAAGTAGGTCATACACTCCAAGGTCAAAGATGATAGTATCCAAAGGAAGGTTTTATCAGACTCGAGCTTTGATTAAAATAAAGTTTATTCGGCTTCTTATAAACACACAACTGAATGCTTGTTGTTCGTGTCAATACCGATAGCAGCATGCTCTGACACTTTCTCCATCGCCACTTTCTTCGTTTGAAATGAGGTCGAGCCCGATTTTAAAACAAAACATCGAACCGAAAATCGAGATATTTAATCGAGCAGTTATATTGAATAGTGATATTTCGATGAATCAATTCAGCCCTACAACGATGATAGACCAACATTGTTACATAACAATTTGTCTTAATTGTAAGTATTTATTTTTTAATTTTTTTTTAACTCAAATTTTTTATCCCTTTTAATGTCGCAGCTTTTGAGTTTTGCACGTATTGCATTTTTAGTCCGCCAGCCGTGGTCATCATAGCACGATATTTATAATGTAGTCTGAATGCATTTTTAGAATTTAACTTGTTTGTGAATTATAATACTTAGTTATGTGTAAAATATAACATGTGTAAAATACAAAATAATTAAATAAACGTACATGCAAATCAAATCACTTTTTTTAATGTAAAGAAAAAAAGCCTTCACAGGACTAATCAAAAAGTCTGTAAATCTAAAACCGCTTTTAAGTATAAATCAGCATAATGTGCTACAATATAAAATGAACGAAATTATTCTGTTATGTTAAATCAATTAGCAATTGATGTTTTTTTTTCAAAAAGTAACTAGGATTAATCTGACAAAAATTTACATTTCTATGAGTATCAACTCAAATCGAAGGCTTCATTTACTGGTAAAAAAATAGCAGATCAAGGGATGCCGTCACACTAATATATCTTTTCCAAAAATAAAAAAAAATCTGTTGTTTGCTGTTATCATTTAGCTTGTAAGTAATTAAAAACCAGCATGTGGCAATATCCACGTGTCTAGTGTATGTACTTTGAACATAAGTGTTGTTATATAAACCGTTATAAATGCCTTCTTTCAGACAAGGAGTTTTAACCTTTCCTTTAGTTGATAACAACTTATATTTAAAGCAGTAAACAGCATATATGGAAATTAAACACCTGTTATAAAACACATTGAATGAAATTGACGTATACAAATTAATCACAAAAAGAGAGACTGCGTCTGCGGTTTAGAGAGAAAAATTGCATAATGGATATTATAATATACTATTATACTTTCATGTAGAATACTAAGATCTGATTTGTTCAGTTCAGATTCAAGCTGTAGTTTCTTGCCAAGTTCCTTGTCAATAATGCCCACAACTAACCTGTCACGAATTTGGTCGTCCTTGTCTCTGAAATCACAGTGCGCCGCCAAGTCGTGCAAACTTAGGACAAATTCCTCTACTGACTCTCCCTGGCGCTGGCTCCGGATGTGGAATTTGGCGCGCTCGTGAATCACATTTTTCTTGGGAACAAAGTATTTGTCAAAACTTTCAAGAGCCTTCCTTCTGCTTCCGGTCCCATATGGCGTAAATAAGAAAACTTATCCGTATTTGGTCATCTTTGTCGGTAAGTTTCGTCGCGATCTGAAAATGCGTGAATCTCTGCTTGCATTCCGGCCATTCATTCGGCATGGAACCGGTTACGGTAGCCTAGTGGCAGGGCGTTCGCTTCGTGATCGGGAGGCCCGGGTTCGATTCTCGTTCGCCGCGCTGTGTCAAACCTAAGACGTAAACATAGGTAGTGACTGTTCTTTCGCCAAGCGCCCGGCACTAGAAGTGAAAGTCACGGGTCTTTCGGATGAGACTTTAAAAACCGAGGTCCCGTTGGCACGATAAAGAGCCCTCACTGCTCAATGGCCCCGAGTGCCGAGTAAAGGTCCTTCACCGGCAAATGGTGACGTCACTATATGAGTGAAAAATTATCGAATGGGACGTTAAACAACATACAACCAACCAACCATTCGGCCTAGTGAAGCCGAAATTTTCTGGGGGGGGGGGGGGGGTGAACTTCGGTATGTTGGAAACTTCTACACTTTTGACACCATGTTTGGATGGCTTGGTTCATTAAATATTACTCCGAGTTCAAACAAACATGTTTATTCAATATGGCGCTTAAACTACACAAGAAAGTTCACATCAACTCGTACATTAAAAGGTTATACATCAACTGGATAGTTTGCACGATAATATATTTTCTAAATTTGAGGAAATTTGATTGTCAGGGCTCGAAATAATTGATGGCCCGCTGGTCTGGGGCCAGTAAAATCTTAATCCATGCTAGTACATTGTTAAAAGCATGTGCCCTTTGGGTCAGTTTTTTTATGCACATCAGAATCATAGGCACTCCTCAGCTTAATTCTAAAAAATATATATCTACTATACTATAAACATAACAAGGCATGAAACTAGCCTCCATGTTGGATTCCGCTTAGGGGCACTTTCTGACTTCTGAATTTCTCGCCCAAGTCGGACTTTTCTCAGACATCGGAAGCTGTCATTTATTGAAAGCAAATCAAATCAGGTTGAATCTTGCAGTACGTTCGTCGCATATCACGCGTTTTCTCACATTTCTCTGCAAACCCGGCCTTCAACTCGACATTTAGCTATATCGACGACGTATTGTCAATTAACAATGGTTATTTCTATTCTCATGTCGATACGATATATCCCGATGAGCTTTAAACAAGAGATACCACAGATTCTGACACATCTGTTTCATATTTATGTATTTTACTAGAAAAAGACGTTAATGGGAATCTAACAGCCAAGCTTTATGATAAACGTGATGACTTCAACTTTTTAATCGTCAACTTCCCTTACTTATGCAGCAATATACCTTCATCACCTGCATACGGGGTTTATATCTCTCGGTTGATTCGATACGCAAGAGCATGCTTTACGTATGAACAATTTCTAAAACGAGATAAGTTATTGACAAACAAGTTGATGAAACAAGAATATCCGCAGTCTCATTTTGTAAGTTCTGTGGTCGATACAATGACCTTGTCAGCAGCAAATATAATTTATCATTAAATCAAATGCTGAGTTACGTTTTTCATACTAATTGCGAGGCCATTATTTATACACTGAATTGTCGACGGATTTTTCCGTTATTTCCCGATCATGACAAGGAGCACACGGCGGGTGTGAGCGGTCTGCA